CTTAATTGTTTAAGTAATGTGTACTTCGCAAACGATTTTGTAATATATTATGTATATCATCCCTTTGAGCAGAACATCGCCCTTGGCCGACCAGCTATATTATTCTCACTCCAGTTATATTTGCCAATCATAGTCGAATTCGCCGACAGTTTTGTGGAGAATTATAACGACTGCAGATTTATGACGACGTGACGATTCTGCACCAAATAAGATAATTGGCCCGTTTACTTAAAGGAGCTGACATTTTTATAAAAAAGGTTTTCACTGCTCGATTCAACCGTTAAACAAAATTCTCACACAAAATCCTACGCGAGTTTGGGGAGGTAGCGCACTGCTGAACCCTGCAAAACATTCCCTATATTTTCAAACTTTCAGTAACTCTCATTCAAATGCTGAAAAAGCAGGAATGCATAACAGAGAAGACAATATTTTTGACAGTAAAAATATTGCATAAACTTTACAAAACGCAACCACGACATGTCTGCTCTTGAGCTGAACTGGTGGAGGACTTTAATCATATTAGGAAAATCAAAATGGCTCGGAGTCATTAGTCGCAAGCTTTTCCAATCACTCACAATATTCCCCGTTTCCATAGCCGCTGACGTGTGTTTGTTAGCTTAAATATATGTCATGCAAGTCGTGCCGATATGGCTAGGTTTTGGGAAACAAAATACTGCAAAATACACAAAGTTAATTCAATACCGGAATAAAAAGTTAAATTGCCGTTTTTGGGATGTAGAATTTGCATATAATTCGAGTCAGTGGATGCGGTGGTAGACGTCATGCCTTTTTTGTGCTCGGTGATACACGTTCATATACATGTTATACGTCAAGCAAGTTAAAAAATCACCGCCAAACTCATATAGATCGAACAGAATATGAACTTTCTGTTCCTCAGGGCTCGCCTGGCGTTCATCATGTCGCTTCCGGCAAGATAAAATTTATTTTTGAAGAACCAATGAAGCTACTTGTTCACGAGCTGAGGAGTCAACTGCCAAACAATTGCATCATGAAGGATGACAATTTTGTCGACGGTCAGGTCTGGGCTTTAAGGAAAGGTGAAAATGACGAAGTATATGAAGGATGTCGAAACAAACATCTAAATGCTTCCGGAGATATTTGAATGCCTTAAATTGGTCGGACACAAACGTCTCTTCTTTCGGCAAAGCAAACTTTAAATTTTATCTTCTTTTAAAGGTACGTTAATTTTACATAAACGCAGACCATTTCTGTATCTGCAAAATATTGTCCAAGCGTTTAAGCACTGCGGAAAAAAACGGCATGCTGTCATGTACCATTTTTTATTAGAAATTGGGCTACGAGATAACTGTCAGTAAAATTCATCTACAGCGTTGGAGGTTGCCAAATCTATTTAGGTGTGTTGGGTTAGTTTGCCTTTGCAAAAATTTCATGTCCAGAAAAAGTGGATCGTGTGGTTGAACAAATTCTAATTTATATAACTGGAAGAGCTTTTACGCGAACGTTCCGGCAATACAAACAATCAGACCCCTGTTTCACTAGCCCCATTATTTCACCAATATCCGCAATATGTAATGCCGGATTTAAATCACAAAGCATTGTATAAATTGGCATGCAGGAACGGACAGAAAACGTAATCTTGTGTTATTCGTATAATAGTTTCTTTAGTTTCTTTCTGTCTTTTTAAACTGATAGTTAACATCTTTGCTTTTAAACGAATTACGTACACATCTTTAGTACTCCCGGAATTATCTAAGTTTTTTCAATGAATCGACAGAAAGCTCTAAAACTGCCATAATGGGTCCGCGTTGTTTAACTAATAGTGTTCTATGTTCAGTCAAACAAACAAAAATTGCAGTAAACGATTGCTTACAAAAACTGGATTGTAGGAATAACCAACATGCACCATAACTGCCATCAAAACTTTTGATGTTTTTGCGTAGTTTTCTTAGCAAACGTGTTATCCAACGACTTACCAAAAAGATATACTACGATTCCTGGTTGCCTCCGCAGCTGCATCAAAGGAATGACAGGTTAAGATGACCATGCACGATTTTGGGAACAGGTCTTCATATGTTAATTATATGTCTGGGTTTGTTATTGACAAGTTCTCGATCTGTAACCCTAGCAAAAATTCTAGTTCTGAGCGTTCATCAAATTGCAAGTTACTCAAAGTTACCTGGCCCGTCTTCAAGCTCAGATGCAGCGATGGCAACAACATGTTAGCACAACAGTTTGCGTATCCTGCCAGAAAGGTTTGCTCAGAGTTACGAAGCTTACTGCCCGCTAGAGCGCGAATCATTTACGCACTCCATGAAGCACATTTCCCGCGCGTCTTTCAAGTGCTTTTCTGCTCTTCGAAAATGTAACCCGTATTTACTATGCATCAATAGTGGCCAAAACAATTGCTAACTTAAAATATATTTACGGTGTTGTAGGTGACTTACGGATGGCGACTTTTAGTTGTTGCTGACTGTCCGCAAGGATTTTGAGTTTTGAGCTACACGATTTTCGTAATCTATCATATCTTCGGTGCCAGTATCCATGGAGAGTTGCGGCATAAGCAAACATAAATATGAGATCTTTAGTTTTGCATCGCGAATGTATCAGTTGACTGTCATGTATGTGTCGCAAAACTTGTGCGGTTGCCCAGATTTTAAATAAGAAGACTTTTTCTAGAACTTTGTAAGCTGAGAAAAAAACTCTCCAAATGAGTTCTTAGTAAAGCTTAACTATGCAGCACGAAACTTTAAACGTCTGTTTTTTTAGTAAGGCAATCACTTTTATTGAATAATTGGACAGAGACAATGAGGAAGACATAACCCTGACAAATTTGAATAAACTGCCTACGTATGTTACAACACTAATCAGAATAGCACAGAAACACAAGGTAATTTATACACGCTAGCAGCATAGTTTCCGCCCAGTCAGATTCGCAGTTTTGGGCTAATCAGGCGTGTTTATTTCGTGATAAGTTAGTTTAAGTAGCCATGCCTTTTGTCAGTGGTTTGTGGTTATTTTCGTTCAACACTTATATAGCCGAACGAATGGAGTAAAATATAAAACTAAGGTCTCATCTAAACGGTGTAACACGAACGTATACTATGCAATAATGGCATCGAATTACTTAATTTGAGCTGCATAACATTAGCGAGTGCACAGAACAAATTCATCTTTATACTTTCCCTTCCCTTGGAAAATATGGGATTGAACGACCAACTGTTTCATATATATTTATATATATTTAGTCCGTAGCCGGATATTCAAAACGTTTACGGCCTATAAAGGATTCAACTTCCCAAGAAATAAGTTTTTGGATCGTGCGCTTGGGGCCTTAGATATTTGGAAAGGAGACTAAAGGAAAAGGCAGTTGTTTATGGTTTAAAGCTTCAGATGCAATTGCATTTTACTGATGAATGCCCGTTGTCGAAACGAATGACTGAAAGGTAGATTGATTGTGGTTATCCACAGCACATGTAGTAAGTGGGTTAACTCATGAAATCTCAAAAGAAATTCCGAACTGCGTTTTCTTTTCGAAAAGATAAATTAAGTAGGGTTGTTAAAGTAATCGTCATGCAGAATAACTCTAAAATAATTCAGTTACCACAGAAGGCCGGCTTTAGATCAAGCGTCTTTTGGGCTGCATCCAAAACCCGTACTTTATAAAAATGACCACTCAATTAGCATGCATTTTGTAACTGATTTTAGATGCCTTTAAAGATTAATTATAGTTCATGGAAACCATTCATAAAAATATACATTCTTTAGCTCCTTCGGTAGCATATTACGTCTTATTTCATATTTATACTCAAAGGAAGGGTATAATTTGGTCTTATTAAACATTTCCAATTCCCGATTAATTTTGAGTCCGACCTGCCGCTACACTTGCATTCAGGGCATCCAGACTACAAGCCGTATAATTTCCGCGTACGGAAAACCACAAATTTCTCTACGGTATAAAGAGGAGATTATATGGGGTACAAAAAAGTAAGCAGCGGATTTCAGCCACATTGCTAAATTTACAAACCACAGTAGCAAATGCAGAGACATGACATTTTATGGAGGCACATTTCACAGTATTAAAAAACCCCCAATTAGAAACCTTTTTAAAACCGAATTATACCCTTCCTTCGAGTATAAATTTAAAGAACGACGTAATGTGCTACCAAATGAGCTAAAGAATGAATATTTTTATGCATGTTTTTATTTACGGAGTACGGTTTTTGGATGCAGTCGGAAGGACGTTTTTGTGAAAGCCAGCGTCCTGGGGTAACTAAGTTATTTATTCTGCACGATGATTACTTTAACAACCCTACTTAATTTATCTTTCCGAAAGGAAAACGCAGTTCGGAATTTCTGTTGAGATTTCATGAGTTAGCCCATCTACTGTACCTTACGATGGCCCAAAAGAACGTCTCAGCAGTCGCTAGCCACGTTCGACGTCATCTACAAAAACAAGTCATTTTGGTCATTTCACTGCTTTCTGGCTGCCGCCTCGCGATTAAAATGGGTTTATTACGCCAAATATTTCTGTCTATCCTTGACTTAGAACAGCCAAAATATATCTAAGAAGGACATGATAATTAAACACTGCAGGTAGCATCCTACTTTTCCACATGACAGGACAAACAGGTCCTGATTCGCACCTCCCCCCGAGGTATTGAGATTGGGATGCATGGAATGACATTTGGTCCGTTTTGTATGAAAAAGTGACTTTCTGATAAAAATGACCGGCATACACATGGCTCAGGGTGAGCGAAACGGTTTCAGAAAAAAACGGCAACAACATGTCAGTAGAAAATAGTGCTTGCCTGATCGGGTCAGACAACTTCCTCACAGTTAAACAAACAAACAAAAACCATAAGAGGGCATGGAGAGGATTGAAGTACTGATTTTCCGCCGCACCAATGTACTTCACTCGAAAATATGGCTCAAGTCGATTTGCCATAAACTGACCTGGGTCCCTTTGATAGTTAACAAAATGTAGGCTGCTGGATGTTAATATAAAGTGGGTGCAGGGGTTAGCCTAGGTCACATTTGTCAGGAGACTGTGGTTCCAAATCCATGGCCTGTCCATTTTCCCAAATCAGTCCAGGTTTGCCCCTCATCCCAGTCGGATCCAGCTCCTTCTCGTCGTTCTTATCAGATTCTCCAATAGAAGGCATTTCTTCTTTTCTCCTCTGAATCAGCAGATAGATAAATTCAACCACTTCGATGACGAAAGCGGCAGTTATACCGATGGTCACGGAACACAGACCGCCGATTCGAGAGGCTAGGACGTTCAGCGTAAGAACCAGCTTTTCCGTATTGTCTATCGTGTTGGGAGACTTACGTTTGAGAATTATGTAGGCGAAGCTTTCATTGTCCAGATAGAGCTGATTTCTCATATTTTCGGAGAGCAGGGGCACAATGTGGGGTGGTCGCAGGGAGTCGTTCAGTTCTGCCTCTTTTGGAATATTTCGTAGGTCCTGCTGTACTAAATATTTTCGCCACATTTTATAGCCCATAGATTCCGTAATGTTTCTGTGCGGATAGAGTCGAACAAATTGCTCCGCCAGTCGCACTGCTCGATTCTGCACTCGCAACCAGTAGAGATTCCAAAATTTGGCTCGCCATTTTGTGATCGAAATGGTCGTATCATAGGTGTAGTATTCACACCGCGGGAGACAGACAGTACCATCGTATTTACGTTTCACACTAATGTCTAGTTTTCGTTGAAGACAAGCCAGCCTTGAGGTGAACATCTTAATGTCCAAGTTGGGCCACATACGGCCACAGTACGGTGTTATATCAGAGGGAAAAGATGGCCGTGGATTCATGACATAATAGCAACCGCACTCATCAATAATTTCCTTCTGTTGATAGAGAAGCAGACACTGTTCGTGGGTGTAATTGTAGACTTGGTCCAGATCCCTGTATGCACGCGAAGCGTTGAAACTGTAACAGGGTCGTTTGGGAGTATTCTTTTTGGTCCATCGTCGAGGTTCGTAGCCGATTTCATTTAGCTTTCCAGGCTCTGCGTGCAAACCAAACTTTTCCAGATCTGGATACGTTCCAGGTTCGTGAACTACAACGCGAAGGCCTTTTGCCTGTTCGAAAACATCCGGCAGAAAGGCCTGCTCGTCATCCTCGCTACTCTCTTTTGGACCCATGCCAATGATGAGACTCAGAAAGGAGGTCTCCTCCGAACCAGCCAAATCTGTCGGCTCAAAGGTGTGACAGTTCAAGTACTGATGATGCGAAAACTGCCGGATCCGATAACCATTCAGCAGAGAACAGTCGTCCTCAAAGTAACTCACATGTGACCCCACCCGCATGCAGTTTAGGAAGATGGCATAATTGTGCCCCAGCGACTTTGCTTCATCCGGCCGCAGATTCTGGTAGTAGACGCTCAAGCTGTCATAAAAAGAGATGGCTTCTGCCGCCGAGACATCATTTTCCAGCAGGTAGCCGAGTGTGAGATTACGAAGGTAGCGATTAAAACGCCCCGGTGAGAGAATCTTGCCCTCCTTCCAGAGTCGGCGAGCGTCGTCAGAGAAGGGATAGTGATGGCAAACTGTGATGGCCGGAAAGGGTGAGGGGTCATCGAGCAGGAGACGTGTGTGTACTCCAACGTCGTAATTGAGAAAGTCAAGGATGAGCAAGAGGACAGAGACGATGAGAAGACAGGTTGTGCAGATCACAAAAATCGACCAAGCTGTTCGCAGGAAGCGAGGACCTTTGCTCAGCTTGCCCATGCCACGAACCGTGGTGCAGGAACAGAAGAGGTAGAAGGCTTCGCGGCAGAACCCAGCGCCACTGTTGCGTTTTCGAATCCTCCTAGGGCGTTGGACCTTGAAACCTCCGGGGTTATCGGTTTTTTGGTAATTTTCAGTTGGTGTGAGGCTTAGAGGAATGGTGTCAGTCTCGGATTTACAGTCGGTGGGACTGTCTACTATCGGTCCCTTTCTGTCGGAACCGCGGATAGCCATGCGCAAGGACATTTTAAAACTTCGTTACAGTAAAAACGTCCAAATTGCAAGGTTAGTTTTTGGGTACTTTTAAATATTTTTCAGTAGTCCTGGTCCCCGTGATGATCATTTTAGTGAAGCATAGCGTGCATCGTTCTTTAAAATCTGGGATTTATTTGGTAGCAGACCAATCGCTAAGACGGGATAGTTTACGATAGGAATACGTAATTTTCATTGGTCGACCTGCGACCAGTAAAATACCAAGCAGCATTTTGTTCTTCAACGGGATCATTCCTTTTGAAAGTTGCTGTGAATACCTTACGAGAGCCCTTTTTGTGAACTAAAAGAGTTCTATTTCATGCCAGTGTCGTTAAATTGTACGAAACCTTGCACTCAGGTTTGATGAATGTTAGCATCTTAGATTACGTAAACAAAATGAATCTCTTAACCTGTACACATTTGTTCGTATAAGACTCCTGCACAAGTTCGGCCATTCCAGTGCCCGACAACCCTTCTTTTTCACCTAAAAACACTCCAGCTAAATTGGATCAAGTCTAGTGCCCATGTCGCATTTATGAAGAGGAGTCTATGAGTGCTATAAAACTGGTATGGAAAGTGCAAGCAGCGTAGAACCACGGCCCAATGGCGCTGAAAAGGGGGTCAAGCCGGCGGCGTGAGACACGCGTGAAGTTAGACGGCCGACCGACGTGCACTGAAGCGCCGAGTAGGTGTGGTGGTTTTGCTCACGTGCGCGGCCCAATCAATGGCTGGTCGAACATTCCAGACGTTTCCGCGGGGGACTATCGCGCACGCGGTGGCCAATCAGCGACTAGCAACGGCTGGCACGTCATTGGACGGAATGTTCCAGGACGCACAGGAGTTAATATAAATGGCGCATCTTTCTCGCGAGTTGGGGCACCTCGTGTCCGCAAATCACCGACAGAATGATTGTCCGCCGAACCGGCTCTCTTCATGTCCAAACTTTCTTCCGGGTCATAACAAAAACAGTGTTTATTTTCCAGTTATTATCACAAAGCAAAATGTCACTTAAATTCCCTTAATTACCAATTATATGCACACGTTCTTAAGGCAACTTTCGTACTTGCCAATAACTATTTTGGTTCCCTATCAAAGATGCAAATATACAAGAAAGTCACCATCTAAACCCTGCAATTCAACACTACCGTGGGTTATGCAGTTGCAATTGCTATGAAAAACATCTTACTTGGTTTGAAAGGGTTCAATGTCGCTTGGTCAGAAGCAAGAATAGCTGCAAGGTATAAGTAGGATATTCCTGTTAAATTGATTTCAATACATGTATAAACGTTTTTCAGTCATCGCACGTAGATTCAGAGTCTGCGCCAGAGGAAGAAGTATGCATTTGCTCCTTTTGAAAAGCAAGACAAGGAAAGTAGGATGATAGAAATCGGGGGAAGCTAACAGGCAATATCTGTCCAAGATAAAGTCCAGCAATGACCTTGAAAATTGATGGAAACAAGGGCGTTTCGCTTAAAATGTTTGTTGCTTAAAAGCATTTTAAACAAAGCGATGAAAACGTATCTAACCTCAGCCCACTTTAGGAAAGCACTTACGATTCTACACTTCGCATATGCAAAATGAAACCTCTATCTTAAAGCTGCTTGGGGAGACACAGTTGGGTGGATACAATATTCAGCGACCTTCCAACAAGATATTCCTTGTTCACAAATGGTTTTGTGCAAATGTTGACAACAATGATTGTTAATCCTTGTCGTTTTAACAAATGAATATCTTAATTTGCGTTTTAAGACAATGAAATGTAGCCCAGCCGCCATCAAGTGTTATTTGTTTCAAAATATTATAGGCACTGAGTAGAAGACAGGATTTAATTATACCGTCTATGGACACTAATCTTGATGTTCATAATTTGTTAAGTTGTGAACGCTATGTTTCTGCCGATCTCTTATCCCAAATTGGGAAAAAATAAAGTCCGCAATATCAGTTTGAATCTGTCCTTTTCGGCGCCGTTGGGGCAGCTAGTAAGGTACCTCTGATTGTGTATTAGTTCTAATGCCCTTTAAAAAGAGTTAAATGATCCTGCATAACTCCTAACGGCGCAAAATACAAGTGGTGGTTCTCAAGAGACACACGGCATGATCTTTGACGCGTGCGAAAAATCACGGTTAACTGAGGTTGTTTGTCCAACAACGTATATTAAACAAATCAAGCAAATAATAATATGGGACACATTTAACATCTCTAAAATTTACGGGAAAAATTTTGGGGCATAAAGTAAAGGCAAGTTCCATTTGAAGTATTTTTTCGACAAAGGGAAAAGAAAAAGACAACGACATCAGAAGAGCTCTTCAGGGCAATACGGAATTCGCAAGAATTCTATCCTACTTCATTTGTCATCTAAGTAGCACAAGTGTTGAAAACAAGACATTCACCAGTCGCATCTATTCAACCTCTTTTGTCTTTACCGAACCTTTTTTTCGAAGGAGTATTCATTTTTGTGTTCGTGTATGATGCTGATTTTTAGTGTTGGTTATTACTAAGATCAATAAAGCTTTGCAGACTGCGGAGTGCAGCGGAATTTCTGACAATCGTGTCTGTACAAAGTTGGTCGTTTATTTGCGTTCACAGTGCGTTACTGTTCTTGTTAACTTATTCTAGTCAATTTTTTTAACCCAGCATACTTGCTCCTGCCATGTAGCAACAGTCACCTACTGGTTGGAATAGGAAGTCGCCTAGTACTGACGGAAATCCCCTACGCCAGTGAGCTGTTGTCAGGTGAGCGGATCACAGGTGATGCCAGCAGCGAACTTTATCGCAAGCCCTAGTTCAGATGTCAGTCGAAACATCTCAAACGATGGAGATTTTACGGCAGGTGCCGAATTCATTAGTTCTCAGTTAAAGATAGCTTGATTTTAGGTGAACAGTCTGCTACACGCCTCTATTAACCGGTGAATGAAAATAGCAGGAGAATATATCCCATATGATTGAAATGTTATTCAGCGTTTTTTTTTTGGAATTTTCGGAAACCTTGCAAACTACCCAGTTAAAGTCCTGCTCAGCTTGGAGACGGTCCTGCGTGTATATGAAGCGCCCTGCAGAGCAGCAGAACAAGTAGCGCCCAAGCCGTTAAGTGCTGCGAGATCGAACTCCTCTCCAGAGTCTATGACTGCACCAGTCGTCAGTCACTTGAAGTGTTCCTCCGAATGCGTCAGCAAAAAAATGGAATACTGGCGCCCAACCACTGTAGCATGCGAAAGACGTTCATATCCAGCCCTCCAGGCTCTTCCAACGATGGCGTCCACTGTGTGCTCGTCAAAATGTCGGGCGCATGTCGGTGACTTGTGCGTGAATCAGTTTATAGTGAGAGTAGACTTGCGCTGCATCCTCGCACTCTGTTAACCTAACACAACTGGGTCAGATGAGAAGCCACAGTCAGGGGGATTTGAGGCGGAATTAGGCACAGTGACTGCTAAACCCCAATGTTTTCGTGTGCAACACATGCTAGTCACTCGCAGGATGGACCCCGATCCCATCCGGCTGGGAATGCAACAGAGGACACAGTGGGAAGGAGCCATTGTAGCCCCACATACCGCTCCGAGAGGTAGCCTACCAGGCCTTACAAAGGCGTCAGATTTTTCAAAGTAAGGAATATGCGTCGAGATTCCAAGTCGTTCTCTCTCCCCTTTCCGGTGTACCACTCGACTGTTCGAATCGGCTAGGAGTTCGAGAAACAAGTAGCAGAGCCATAACAGCCGTTAACGCCTGCCTCTCACACGTGATATCGTCATTTCCCACACGGCACGCCTACAATTCACACATAGAGGGTACACGTTCGGCACTCAGGTGTTGCTGTTGGGCCGCATATATGTATATATGCTTACAGTAGATGTGCTAAATCATGAAATGTCAACCAAAATTTCGAAATGTGTTCTCGTTTTGATAAGATAAATTAAATAGTGTTGTAAAACAAAACATGGTGCAGCATAAATCTATAATGATCCAGTTACCTCAGGGTATCGGCTTTCGAAAGAATTTATTTTCGGTTGCATGCAAGATCTATACTCTGCAAAAAATGACTACATAACTAGCATGCAATTTTCTCATGGATTTTCGATGCTCTTGAAAAATCAATTGTATTTCATGGAAAACATGCATAAAAATATTCATTCTTTAAACTAGTCGGTAGAAAATCACGTCTTCTTCCAATTTCATACTCAAACGAAGAGTGTAATTCGGTTTTAAAAAAGTTTCTAATTTTGAGATTTTTTACACCCTTAAATGGCCGTTCATGAAACGTCATGAATCTGCATTTACGGATGTGGCTTTTAAAGTAAGCAATATTGCTCAACTCCACTGCCTAATTTTATGAACCTCGAATGGTCTCCTCTTAACACCGTAGAAAAATGCATGGCTTTCCGTACGCAGAAAATATACAGCTTGTAGTTTTGAAACCTTGAATGCAAGTGTAATAGCAGGTCGGTTTCAAAATTATTCGGGAATTACAAAAGTTTTTTAAAACCGAATTATACTCTTCTTTTGAGTATGAATTTGGAAGAAGACGTGATTTTCTACGGAATAAGTAAAAGAATGAATATTTTTATGCATGTTTCCTATGCAATATAATTAAATTTTCCAGGTCAATTAGAAAATTGCATGCTAGTTATGTAGTCATTTTTTGCAGAGTATAAATCTTGCTTGCAACCGAAAATAAGTTCTTTCAAAAGCCGACATCCTGTGGTAACTGGATCATTATAGATTTATGCTGCACCTTGATTAGTAATATAACACTACTTAATTTATCTTTTCGAAACGAGAACGCATTTCGAAATTTTGGTTAACATTTCATAAGTTAGCACATCTACTGTGTGTGTGTACAAATAGATCCATGATTGACTGAGTTTGCCTGGGTAGTACGGACAGTTGGGACGAATATGTCGAGTGTATATCGGGGACGCTGGCACTGGTCACGGATATGCAAGTGACCAGCCAGGACTATGCGTGATATATAGGTGAAGTCCAAGTGA